AACAAGGCAGTAAAACCCGAGGTTGCTGGGGGAAACCGGTCAAGACTGCCGGGGGTTTCGGAGGGAGGGGGGGTCGGTGGGAAGGTAAAACCCGCGTTTCTTGGGAAATTGTAGGGAGGTTGTGACTCTCTGCGTGGTTTTGGGTTCACCGTGTCCCCCAGGTAGGATGCCGTGGGGAGAGAGAGAGATGGCCTCTGGGGTGAGGGTGTCGTGAGTGTCTTCGGGCGTGGAGAGCCCGAAGCCGACATCAAACTTAGAATACAGCCACCGCCAGCTTTCCGCGGACGTGAAGGGGTTCGGGTCCTTCAGCCCTCTGAGTGGGGTTTTCAGGAAGGTGTTGAAGGCGGCTGTCCCCCCAGCGCCCTTCCTCGGGAGGGCTTTGGTGTGCCTTTGAGCCTGTGGGTTGATTCCTGCCAAGGCCGTTGTGGAGGAGGCGTGACTGCTGTATGGCAGGGTGCTGGGGGGAGAAAAGCCTGCGTCCCCTTGGCAGTGAGTGCCCTGTGGCAGCATCGACCCAAAAGCAGGTGGATTTTGTTGCTGCTGGGCATTTCCTTTTGAGCCAGTGTCAAGGTTAGGCACGAAAGTCTCATTTCAGCAGTGTGACCTGTTACAGAGCTTGGTGGCTGGTTGGGCCTGGAGTGAAAGCTAGCGATGGGCTGTGTTTATTCATGAGAATACCTTGCAAGTGGCTTTCTTCCAGGATATGACAACCAGAATACCTTTTTATTCTTTGCTTTGTGGCCACTTCTGGTGCGTGGCCCTGGGCTTGTTTCCTTTCCTGACATCCCCCTTGGAGGGGGGACTCAAGATTCTCAATCTCCTACAAGATTGTGCTGTTTTAGATTAGATGTAGATTAGGAGCAATGCGTTTTCAAAAAGAGACTGTAATTCTTGTGTACTGTGTGAGGCAACAATCGCTTCATGGATCTAGGAGAGTGAGCCTTGCTTAACGGGTTTTTGAAGTCCATTGTTGAGCTGTTAAGGCAGGCTAGAACAAGGCTGGTCTCTTTGGGACCGCTGGTATTGCTGCACTGGGAACCAAGGTATTCAAAGAGTGTTTTCAGTTGTCTGCTACCATGGAGTCTCTAAATTTCTCATGCCAAGTTGACTCGGTTTACTGCAGGAGCTGGTTGAGTGACAGGAAAGATCATAACAGTGGGATAAACAAAATAATAATAAGCTTCTGCCTTACCCAGTGTTTGCATAATCTGCAGAACATGAAGAAAGTGACAGATGGGAGCTATATAGATGCCTCTTAACAGTGTTGCAGCCTGCAGCTGCAGGCTTTCTGGGCTGAGTCAGGGAAGGACAAAGGCAGGAGAGCCAGAAGAATATGCTCTTTATATATACATGAGAGGTGGGGGAAAAGCATTTCAGGCCAATTTTGTGGCCTGAAATACAACTATTTGTGCTATTTTTTTACTAGATAGGATTGCATGCTCTCTAGGGTGCTCTGAGACTGCAGCAATTGTGAGGACATTCAGCATTTCTTGTCTAGTGAGGAAGGTATTCAGGTCAAAGTTACTGCAAACCAATGTTTCTGCTTACTTTCTTCTAGGCTTTTGGACAGATTTGCTTACTGCCGCTCTTAATAAGGTAAGAGTGGGGAGTTTTCTCCCCCTCCAAGTTTCTTGTTTGTGGTTTTTTTGGGTTGTTTTTTTTTTTTTTTTTTTCAAAGGTGCTTGCATTGCACACCACTTACAGGTTATCTGCGAGGGAAGCTGCATAACTTGATTGGAGAGTGAGCAAGATTATGTCATAGATGTTGTTTACTAGATTATTTTTTTAACTACTCTGGTTTGAGTGGGTCTCTATCAGAAGAAATTAACCTTTTTTCACACTCAGGCAGGTGCATAGAAACCGAATTCGACAGCTTGCCTCTTTGCCTTTCTGTTCTTTTGCTAAAGAGCAGTCTTTCTTTCAAAGCTTGTGGATGTGCGAATCTGCTGTGTTTATCACCAGTAGTGGTAAAAGAATAGTAGTAGTGGGGAAATGAGGCCAGACGTTCTTTCTAACGATATTACACTGTTTTAGGTCAGTCTTTTCTCCTTCTCTCTCACGTTTTTGTTTAGAAACTGTGCTTTCAAGTGTACATTGCACTAAGAGCCACTCAGGTTAGGAGGTGTCGGGAACCTCAAGCTCACACTTGGCTCACATAGTTTGCCCGTTGTTTGATGGGTCATCTGTGCAGATCCCAGGACACTGAGAAATGTATTACATGGCATTGGTGCCCTTGAATTTTTACTTGGGGCATTGGCTTTTTGAGTGAATCAAACCCAGACAAGCGTCATTGCTGTTACACAGCAGATCATTCTTTGACACCTATGAGAGGGTCTTGATTTCCTTGCTTCATTATGTGTTCCAAGCCCTGGGCTCGTGCTGCAATCGCTGTTGTATTTGGTTGCGAATGAGCTGTGTTGAAGCAGGTCATGGAAAAGTCTGAAGAGGTGCTTGTTTTAACAGGATTAGTGCTTGAACATATGGCTTACACTACTTTCTCCTTTTCTTTTCCTCTCCATTCCTGTCTTTTGGTCTGTGGGTGATATATCTAATTAAAGTGAATTGAAAACTTTCACCTGTTCTTTCGCAGCTTGGGTTTACGGAGGCTGGCTGGCCTTTTGTCAAGATGTAGGAGGCTTTGTTAAGCAAGCAGAGTAGATTTGATGCTGCCTTTAGGAAAGGTGTGAGAGAGATTATCTTGTAACTGTTGCAACTCCCTGCTGTGAGAGCAGACTGCTAGGACAAAATGTTCCTGGGTAAGGTTCCCTCTGCACAGTCTGAAAAATTAGTCATGGTAGAGCTTGCAAACTCTAGCAGTGACTCTCTCTCCTTCAGACTGAACAACTTCTCGCTCATGCGTTCGCTTGACATTCATGAAGATCCCACGTTTATCCCAGAGGTTGCTGCGGAGGTTATGGAAGACAAGTCTGAGGCTAAAAGCACTTCAGATATTATTGAGCAGCTGATAGAGGCAAGGTCAGTATGTGATGTGTAAGAGTGGAATGGAAGAACATGTGTTGGCACTGTTACATTAGTGGGAAGCTGTCATTGTCAGTAATTTGGATTAAAATCTTTTTCCACACCTGGCTACTTTACAAA